CATCATGGCTCTTTTCCTAGTAATCTTTTTATTTATTCACTGTGTTGTTTTAACATTGTAACATTGCAACATTTAACATTGTAATTAACATTGACATTTGTCACGTATGCAACCTGCAGTATTTTGTAAAATTTGCTGTAACGAAAAGGCTAATAAATGATGATGATGCAATAAAATAAAAAATAAGATATAAAATATAAGTAAACAGGAGTTTACGGTCAAGTCACCCGCAAGTCAATTCGCCCGAAGTTATGTCGCCCGAAATCAGAGTTAATCATGGCTTAATAATTCTTAAACCAAATGAGCCTTTCAAAATTTTTTTTTCACATTTGTTTCTATCGCGTCACTCTCTTTCAAAATTACTTTTTTGTTACGCCATTAGTTAAAATTTGAATTTTGCTGTCAATCTTGGTCTTTTCCGCCAAAAGCCTTTAAAGTCGCGAAAAACAAACAAAAAAAAATACGATTGTTTGTAATGCAAGTCCTACCATCTTGCAAACTTTAAGCTCAAACGGATAAAAACTGTAAAAGTACTTCCTATTTGCTAGACTTATCCCGATGAGCTGGCTTATTCAATCGTCACCCCGAGAAGGGATGGACTCCTCAGCAGAGAAAGGTAACCGATAATCAGCCGTCCCAGTAAGGATAATGCATGGTGTAAATGCACCAACTATCCAGCCTTACTACGGTTTCAGTTCATTCAACCTGAAATTGTTGCACAGTTTAAAGACTTTAAACATTTTCAACAGACGTATAATACAAAACTAAGGGGGTGGTGGTCATGTGGTAAGACACCAGCTGCCCAGCTATGACTTGGCTTCAGTGTCCGTACTATTGCTGCCGTCTTTCTTAGTAACTGCAACAAAAATTTATAAGATAAAGGCACTTTAAAATGTGCAATATGTTTAATTCCTTTTTGTTTGTTTCTAAAACAAGGAATGGGAAAAAGCACGGGGATATGGAAAATGAAAATGGGAACAAAACTTCGGTTAACTTAAACTCTCGATGTGTATACACCCGTTTCGATAAAGGTTGCTTTGGGATTTGGTCATTAAAACACAGAATACAATGCAATGCTAAATTGCTTGAGTGACCAACAAACAATGTCTTTCAAAGACCAAAGCACGATTCCCAAAGCAATCTTTGAAACAGGTGTAAATTCAGCCCGTGCAACCACTTTCCTTAATTGGCACATTAAAGAGAATCCTCACCATTTAGCTTTTGGGTAGATTTTGACTCTTGTAAAAACAAAACAATCAGCAAACTTATAGCAGCGAGCGAGCCTGTCACGATTGAAAAAACGTGACGTACATAATCTCCGCACTCGTCACAGTCTTCGGAGGCGCTACATGAAAAGAAAAGAAAAATAAATAAGAATTTTTATAAAGATATCTGTAACATTTTTTTATCCACCAGGAAGCAACCTCACATGATGAATTTCACTGAGATCATTTGCCCCTTTTAAGGTGATCCAAGGCAGTCCTGGATTCTGGATTTCACAGTGTGGAACCAAATTCCATCCAGGCACTGCTTTTGGGATTACTTGTTGATGAAACTTTGATTCTGGATTCCAACTGTAAGCAGGATTCCGGACTCCTTGAGTTGAATCACAGATTCCAAACTCCAGAATTCCAGATTCCGGATTCCACAGACAAAAACTTCCTGGATTTCGGAATCCGCATTTGGCGTTAAATTGGGCGAAATCATACAAGATGAATTTACCAGTGGTTGCTTCACCATTACAATTGCTAAAAGCTTGAACCAGCAGTTGAAATTGATCGCGCGTCAGTGAGTCGTTGAGCTTACTTTAAAAAGTTCGCACAAAACGCCAACACCCACTAACAACTTAATGCCAATCAAGCTAGGTATATTAGATTTTCGGGGCATTTCCGAGTAAAGACAGAAAAAGAGCGTGGTGTTTCAGTTTGAAGCTGAGTGCCCCATTTCAGTACGTTTCCGACGTAGCTGGCCTTTCAACAGTGGAATGTATAATTATAGTTGTCGGGGTGTTACATTTAACCCTCATTTTGTATTTTTAAACCTTAACCCGCCGTATTTATTCATTTATTTCCTTTATCCACAAACGTATATTGACCTTCCTGACGGAAACAATTTCTGGATTGTCATGACCGTAGCGCCTCCAAATACGTATGAAAATAAAGTCATCACAGCAAATACAACACCAGATGTACCCTACAAGAAAATTTAAAGTAAAATAAACAAACAAATGGAAAAGCCATGTTTAAGATCAGTTGTCGTGAAGTGAAATCCTATCTGTTTTGGTGTTTGTCTTTTATATCTAATTTGCATTTGAGATGGGTTTCCGCATGATTAAATTACATTCATTTGTAAAAAAAAAAAAACCCTCTTGACTATGAGATCTAAACAGGTGGTTATCTTTTTAGAGTTACAGTTGACTCCCGCTAACTCGAACCCTCGGTAACTCGAACCTCGCGCTAACTCGAACCAAAATCGATTTCCGTCTTTCTTATAATTGTAATTTTACCCTCGGTACAGGGCTCGAACCTTCGATAACTCGAAACTCCCGCTAACTCGAAGTAATTTTTGTTTCCCCTCAGATCATTTCTATATAATTTTACCCTCGACAACTCGAACCATGTTCAGTTTGAGCCCTTAAAAAGTCGGGAAAAAACAGTGTACTGCCTCTGAAACATAGCCTGCAGTGTAGGCGCGGGGTGGGTGAAACCTTGTTCGTGATATTGTTGTAGCCGCCATCTTTGATTTTATGACAGTGGAAGATTGGGGAGAATAGAAATAGTAACCCTTACGGTAGCAACATGGCGCTAAAAGAAAACGCCTGCACTCAGAGACATTGAATTTTGAATTTTCCATTGACGTGTTGTAGGCATATTTATCGATAGTGGAGGCTGATGTTGTTTGTCACAAATCTAACGTGAAATAGCTTTACTTCTCAAAAAGTAAAATGCATGCTCTATGTAGGCAACGTTTTGTTACTTTACGTTCTGATTTATAATCTAAAAGTATCTTTCAATTTTCTCTCAACATTTCTACATTATTAAGGTCTCAGTAAAAGAAAACGAGGTGTCCACACAAAAAAATTCTAGTCGCGCAAGTATTTTCGCTACAAAGGCAAGTTATATATCAAATTAAAGCTAAAAGACTAAATTACCTTATGAAAGATTTTATTTCATCGAATTTCAAAAGGCGCTTAAGTTTTTTACTCTCGAACTCTGAGGTATCGAGTTTACTGCTGAAGTTCCAGCCCTTTCGCGTTGTTAAATATTCACTTCCTTTTTATTGCATCTGATTGACAGATAAAAGACCTAAAAAAGGTGTGAGGAATTTTCCGATTTCCCTTTGTAATTCATTTTATGTCAGTTTCTTTGCGTAAATCGCGCTCGAGATTCGACTTTTTAGTTTGAAATGCAATAATTCCGCTAATACGAGACATATGCAAATTTCCTCACACCCTTTTTTAGGTCTTTATCTGTCAATCAGATGCAATAAAAAGGAAGTGAATATTTAACAACGCGAAAGGGCTGGAGCTTCAGCAGTAAACTCGATATCTCTGAGTTCGAGAGAAAAAACTTAAGCACCTTTTGAAATTCGATGAAATAAAATCTTTTATAAGGTAATTTAGTCTTTTAGCTTTAATTTGATATATAACTTGCCTTTGTAGTGAAAATACTCGCGCGACTAGATTTTTTTTCTGTGGCGCACCTCGTTTTCCTTTACCGAGATCTTAAATGTGATTAAAATGCTCACCGTGCAGTGAAAACTGTTTTTTTTTTCCATACTCCCGCCCGATAACTCGAATCTTTGTCAATGTCTTTATGAATTTAACTTAAATTGTTGGGGCAACGTCCGATGTTGAAAGAAAATTTATATACTGCCGAAAGACCCCGAACCAGAGAGGCTTTTGTTAAGTTTCCGTTGTGTAATGTAAAGGGAAGATTAATTGTTATTCATACTCAGTCGGGCTTTCGAAACAATTAAAGAAACTGCTCTTTAATTTAGACGAATAATCCACTGTTTGGTTCCGATAACCACTCTCTTCTACTGCAGAGAACGTGAATGTAAGAATTCCTAAATACATTGTTGACTTAACAATTATAAGTGCCTTGCCAATTAAGTACTCACTTTATTTGGACCAATAAGCTGCGTTGCGAAGGCCAGTGAATTAACGGACATGGACGAGAATCCCATACCTAACAGTACGACAGCTGGGTAAGTCATCACTCTGTTAGACTCACTTATGAAATAAAACCAAATAGCAGCTCCAATAACGAGAAGGGCAGACAGGATAAACGTCCACTAAAAGCAAGTGAAAATGATCATTGATTGTGAGGTTAGAAAAGTTAGATCGTTTTAGTATCAATTTTTGATGATATTTATTTATTTTTTATCTATTTAGACATATTTTACAGGCGATATTTGCCCTGTAAGCACGCCAGGTGAGCAAAAATAGTAATTAAGTCTTGCAAAATGTAGAGGTTGTGTTTCTACAAGATTTGTGTCAGTATTGTTAATTTGCCTCGAGGACATCTACGGTCCTACTGCATCCAAAAAACAACAAAACCACTCCCACCTATAATTTGATAAAAAAAGTCTTGCACCGGTAAATTTTTTGTTTGTTTGCCCCCTGAAAAACCACGTGACATTACTTTTATCCCAGCAGTCCTTTTAAGGACTTGAAAGCGCGAACAAAGATGGCGGGTATCGTGAATAAGCTCAATTTGAAGAGCAAGTGGTGGAACAAACAAAAATACTGTTGCGAAGACAGCAGAAGACTTACACGACCTAGATCTTCGTGGGTTGAATGGGATGAATTGGCCATCAAAAGTTAAATTGTCTTGACAAACCGTTTTTGTTATCCTTGCAAAGATTGACGGAACTATATAAACTATAAAATGTAACCTAACGGAGCGGATAATTTCATTCATTTTCTGATGAATGCAATAACTTACCTTGCCTCCAATTTTGACAACAATTCTCTTTGAAATAGCCGATGATAGTGCTCAACTGCTTAACAAAATAAGTGGTAGATATGCAATGGACTCCTAATAAAGTAAAGGTGTAGATAAAAATTTCGTTTTTAGGTTAATGTTCTAGACTAGTGCATTTTGCTATTCGCACCAAAATTTCCGAGCTCAATTAATTTTTCATTTTCCGAAAGCAATTCAAATATTGCACACTAGCAGAGGATTTATGGTTGCGAATAAATAATAATAATGGAAACTTTATTTGTGTTTTTGAATGTACAATTGTAAATCTCGCTACGTATAGGCAATTTACAAATGCTGCTTGAGATTGGATTATTTATAAAAAAAAAACAAAACAAAATCCAGAAAAAAAAATATATCAAAATTGCATTAAGTCTGGGCTATCCCAGTTCCTATTTCTACAACAAAAGATATAATATGTTGCTCTAATGGCTATATTTATCATTTTCTTGATTATATAACGTTGCTGCTTTTTGTCAATGCCAATGTCATTCATCATGTCTAAGAACGTGGAGCATTCATCGGAGAAAATGCCAAGGGAACTCATGGAGAGATTTACAAATCTCACACATCTGTAATTTCTACTCATTTCGTTGATCAAGTTCAGATATTTTTCTTTCTTACGCACTGCATTGTTGGTAGTAGTAATAATAATAATACTAATGATAATAATAATAACTGAAAAATCTTTATTTAAACATCAGAAAAATAAGTAATATTTACAATTTTAAACTATCATCGTATCGTTTACAAATTAAAAACCCTTAATTTAAAAGTGGGAAAAGGAAAATTAAGCATTACTAAGAAAAAAACTATCAAAAATCTATTTATAATAATAACTGATATTAATAATAATAATAGTAATAATAGTAATAATAATAATATAATAATATTTAATATTTATATTGCGCATTTTGCATAAAAATAACCAAATGTGCATCACAAACATTAAGATAAATACAAAAGTAAGAATCTATTTACAATCACTATGGAATCAAAGACGAAAACTACACTATTTACAATTGGCTATAAGAAAAGTAATTTGCAGAAAAAATATATATATAAAAAATCTAAGTATAAACTAATTGTACTAACCAAACGCCTTGCTGAATAAAAATGTTTTCAGTTTCTGTTTGATATCACTGTACAAGCAGATCTAATGCTTACGGGAAGACTCTTCCAAAAAAATGTGTTTAACTTAGTTAAATTAAACTCTTTTGTATGCATATGTATAATATTTAAATACATTTTTATACCTTTGCGAAATGAGCTCTGTAAGTTAGAAACAGTGGCAAGTACGAGTAAGAGATGCTTCGCAAAACAAATGTGCAGGTAAAGATGACGGACACCTGAAGATAATAACAATGGAATTTAGAAAAATTGTAAAAAGTTGTAATGTTGGTGAGGACTGTAACACAAAGGTAACTTGCCATTTACATGCATAAAATGGAAATTACGGTTGCATTTCAAATGTTTTGCGCCGTTTCGTTTGGGAAGCTTAAGGAAATATAGGCTTTGATTTGAGGCGATGCAAGTTTTCAAATCTTTTCAGTCTGTTCAGCTCATTTGGATATACTTTGTAGTGGAACGTTTTCCCACCTGGTCAAATGTTATAGTTTTAATTTTATGCACAATAGCTCCACCCCCAGTTTTGTGTAAATGGTAAACACCCATGTTTTTTGACGATACAGCAAAGGTAATTACAAAGTCATCTAAAAAAAACAGCCCGCTAAAGCAATTTTTCACTTGGACTGTACGAATTCGAAATTGTAATCAGGAAATTAGTGTTAGCTGTTTGAGTGCATTGTTCTTGACGAAATAGTTAGTGGGACTCTATTGAACGTATCAGGATTAGTCAAAGGAGAAATACCTTGTAAAGATGCGGGTTTTTCAGCCAGGTTCGTAAGGTCATGGTGGGTGCAGATGTTGATGAACGAGGAGATTCTGGGTCATCAGAGTTAGTGGATGGTTTGCAATTCACCCCTACACTCTGAGAGTCATTCAAATTCACTTCTACTGGTTCTAGTTTAACCTGGTCTGGATAACATCTTCCCGATTCTGTTTCACAGGAGTCAAGGAAACCTGGCTTATCCACGCCAGAGGACAATGGAGAACCAGATTGGAAATCGTTTTGGCGAGATTTTTCCTCGGTTTCGTCTCCGTTACCGTTACGATCATTTGGTACGGTGCCGGTGACGCCATCCGTATCTTTAACACTTTTAGAATCAACTGGAAAAAGGGAGAAAAAAGGGAGAAAAGACACTAAGCAGCCCTTTCCTGTAAGTGGATGGTGTTGGAGTTTTCGTGTAGCTTCACTGATGTACCACATCACCTGCACTCTTTTTGCTGTACCCGCCACGCCAACGCCCCCCCCCCGACACCTTCTTCCCACTTACTCCCAGCTTTACACAAAAAGGAGATTTAAAAATTGAAGGAAACCAGCAGGATTGTATTCAGGTGACGAAGTAGCAATTGCAGGAAACATATGGTTTTCGTCTGACCGTAAAGTGGAAGAATCTCGCTATTATATGAAACCAAGTATTTCTAAATATTTGGAAATGGCAAATTGCGTGCCTCTCATTCTAATTACTTTCAATTAATCTGTATCTTAAAGCCCTGAGTGTACCTGTTTCTTTTAAGGGTGTTGCTTGCAAAGCAGTCATTGCAGGAATATGAGACTGTTCAAGAAAGATAAAAGAAAATTGAACATTCGAAGAATAAATTAGCATAATACGCAATAGGCAGAGATTAAAAGTTGCAAAGGCATTTTGCAAAGTAAACGATGTCTTCACTAGCTTTCCATGTTAGAAGCATCTTACCAGATCTTCTGTGACGATGCCCCCCGAGTCCCTGTTTCCTTCCCCTGAGAACTCTTTAGTTCCAACATGGAAAATCACTGAAGATATGAGACCCATTGCAACCAATATTGCCGCCATTGTCTAAAAAGGAAAGAACTCAAGTTAATTGAAAAGCGGTACGGTGGTTAAAAATTGAATGAATTATTTCACCGTGAAGTCCATCAAGCTTTCTGTTGAGAGGTTGTCTCTGGAATCTTGTCCAAGAATTACCCAAGCCACGAGGTAGGTAGCAATTCCACTTAAGAACGTAAAGGTGACCCTACAAGAACAAAATAAAATGATATAAATGTTACCCGTATTGTCCAATAAGTAATCTCAAGGGCCGTGAGGTCATTTCAGTGTTGGCTGTTGATTGCAAGAAAGAAGACACAATGGATTTCTTGGGTGAACTACAAATGCAAATGTGTAAACTGAACTGAACAGGTTTGAGTTATCCAGGTGAAAGTTCTGTATATAGGGGGTTAGAACATTGAATATAAGGAGGGCGAAGAACAAACCTCAACGCGCTCAATTCTACAGCTTCAATTTGATCTTTGGCAATCACCGGTATAAGTGTCAAGTGTCCAATATCCAGTAAGCAGGCTGAAAGCGCCAATATCACATTAAGTATTGAAAGGTTTACGATCTTTTGCCACTCTTCACCATTGTCCGGACAAGCGTAACATGAGCTAAAAAACATGGGCATAAAAATGACGCTCAACACAGTGCCGACCAAATGCCAAGACTTTCTTCTCCCAATTTTCCGCGACAAAAATGGGATGTTGATTCTATCCACCAGGAATGCGCTGAAAGGCGAGGCAAAAGCGAGAGCCAGTTTTTTCTGGAGTACCAGCCAGCCAGCATTTTCAGCGGACAGACCGAGAACTTGCATAAAGAATACCAGCCTGAAAGAAAATTGGAGCTGACGCATGATGTCATTGATCACATGACCTACTCCACAGGCAAAGCGTTGGATAAATGGCGTTCGAGTCTCTACATCTGTCCCTTCGGTGCATCCACGGTAAAACTTCCGTAAAGGTCTTCATATTAAAATCCTGTGAATAAAGATCATAGGAGTGGTTTATGTAAAAGTTGAGATTGTACCCCAGGGACTAGACCCACGGGTTTTGCTGGTCAACGGTATACCCTATTGACGATTCCCGGATGTCGTTCGAGGCGTTCACTCCGCGCCCTTATCGCACGAGATTAAATGCTTGAATTAACCAAGTTTCGTTGACATGCCTGTTTGGAGCTCAGATAGAAAGGCGAAAGGCAAAACTATTTGGTCAAGTGGAGCCAACTGCGCTGGAATAATACAAATTTTAAGTGAGGGTCTGAGCAAAGCAAATTGCTGGTTTTTGTGCGGAAAATTCGTACATTTGTGTGTTAAAGGGAACATTGGTTCTTATCGTTGCACCCAGGGGGCAGGGGACCTGTCATAATTCAAAATTTCCCGGATTCCATAGTTCTCAAGCAAGAATTTCTCGAATACGGAATCTGGATTCCCTTAAATGAGGTGCCTTACTTGTGCATTAAAGCTTCTTATTATTCATTCAAAATATTTCCCCTATTCTGATTGGCTAAAACCATGACAAAATTTGGAAGAATTTTGTTTTAAACGAGGAAATGACGTGAAAAACGCACTGTTCTTGCACCATTAACCGAGAAGACCTGGGGATGAGGTTGAGTTGTTTTGGTTGTGAAAACAAAAAATGGCGGACATTTCACTCGTGTCAAGAGTGAGAACTAGGCGGCATTATAGCTAAAAACATGGCAAGAACAGCAACAACACAACTCGAAGGGCGACATCGGCTATTTGGAGAATATTTGCGGAGCTGAACAACCCTAACCGTGCACTATCGAAGGAGAATTTAACATTGATGGAGATAAGCATGTTTTAGCTTTGTTTTTGAACTAGGAATTATTTTGAATGAATAATAAAACAATTATTGAATTCGGCTTTCGTATCATATGAAAAATTATGAAGATCTGGGAGGGTGTTATCCGGCTAGGCCTACGGCCTGGACGGATAACCTCATTCATTAATTGTTAATTATGCTCTATGCTAAATGCTCGCGTTATGGTTATATGCTTATGCTTGTGCTTACGTCACTTGTGAGCGCCGGGCTTAAGAAGGCTGTAGAACATTTTTACTTTCATGATACTCCAGCAACTTATGTTTCAAACACCTGCATCCGCAGCTATTTACGTCAATTAGCAATTGGCTAATGCTTGATCAGCGAGCGTATATAGGGATATCAAGCAGGCGTACGTGAAGTTTGGGGAGCACGAAAGAGGCGCAAGAGTTGCTCAAGGCGCAGCCGAATTTTCGCATATTCTAGTCATTTATTTTAGCGGGGCTCCCTCGTGCGCGAAGCGCGCGTGGGACAGAGCCCCATACTCATAGAATATGGTCAACCACTTTTCGTTTGGTTGTCACGTGACTGACCGAGCGTACGTACGTACGTACGCGTCTACAGATTATACGGGTAGGGTAGGGGAGACTATCAAAAGGACGTGAGGAGTGTCTCAGGCGTGTCTTGGCAAATCCACATTTTTTATATTGGCCATTCACAATATGGTCAATTGACAGCCGTCAAAACAGGATAGCCACTGACCACTATCACATTGCCATATCGAGGGCTCATGTGTCCACTCACCAAGGTGACGTGATTTATTTGGAAGCTGTCCGCTGACCAGTTGTTTTACTAGATCGCCATCAATAATTCAATCTCATACTTTTCTAGCTAGTTTGAGAGCATAGGAAAACAGATAATAAACACATCCATTGGACATATATGTTGTGATCAATTGACAGCTGTCAAAACAGGGTATCGCTGATCATTATCACTTATCCGCTGACAAGTTACTGGTTTTCAAATGATCGCAGGCTCAAGTTTGTTTGTTTTTTTTTTTTTTAATTCATATGAAATATGTGTTGGTTTTTGTGCCGCACAATTAAAATTTTGATTTAAAACTGACCTCGGACGCGAAAATTCAGCCAGCTATTACAGGCAGGGAAGACAGTTGCTTTTGACTTTGCTCACCATGGTTACGCGTTGGTCACGCTCTACGTCCAATTTTTATGCTCTGATTGGTCAAAATTTGACAGGTGAGCTCATGGGGAAAATTTATGCAGCATCTTGAATCTTGTTCACTTTGAAAGCTGAAGCTGACAGAGTTTTGTGTCAACTTGTGATGTTTTTAGCTGTCTTTTTCCACTCATGCACAAAATGAAATTCAGCTGCTATCAGGAGTCTTCTGTCATTCATGGCTAGTTAGTTTTTGGTTGAGAAATTAATACATCACTTGTTAAAGTCGGAAATCCGATTTCGGAGGGCATCGTTTTCGTTTTTCACCTTGCTTGATGCGTAAGGGTTGAAAAGTCTGAAGTGATACTGGCCTTACTTGATACCTTTCAGGAGCTGCATCTCGAAGCCTCAGTAATTATTGTGTTTGACGTTTGTTTTTTTTATATCTAATTTAGTAAAGTCGAGCGTAGTTCATGCGGCTATGTAGTTTATGCACGTTTGTAAGATTTGAGACAATTTGATCTGGCCAAGAATCAGGTTTGATATAAGTTTACAGAACTTTAAAAAGCCTTTGGACATTTTCTCACCGCAAATAGAAGGAAAACATTCCAAAGAACATTTAGTGATAATTCTGGCTGTAAAATAAAGCTTTGAGCGATTTTCTTGCCTCGAGTTCATCTTTGAAAAAAGTAAATACCGGGAAGCTTTAAGCTTGAAGACTCAGGATTTTTAGAGACACTTTAATACTTGTCTTCGTGAATGGAAATGTTGTCTCTATATATGTTTCACCGAATTATATTTCTTTTAATTGATTGTTGGTAGTCTCTCTTGTAATTTTAATCCCTGTGCTGATTGTTTTCAGTCGTTCAGTGAACAACGCTGCCCGAAGTACTCAAAATTCCGCGAGTATCAAACGCTTTTAAAGATTACACATCGATAAAACCATTAAATAAAAAATAAATATAATAATTTATCTATTATTTTTTGGAAATTTTTTTAACTTTTCAACGGTCTAGCTAAAAGCCCACGCGTGCTTCGATCGTCCTGAATATTGAATGAGTGCAATTTGTGTTGCAAAATTGTGAAATACTGCATTCTGTCCAAGGTCTGTATGATAAAAACAGTACCTCATGGTACTGTTTCACCTCAGATGTGATGTATAAATGGTATAAAAGGTTGGTTTACACGCACCCAGATTTGTTGGCAAGATTTTGTAAAGTAAACTTGTCGAACGCAAAAAAATTCGGCCTAATCTTTTTTCCAGGCTTAATTAATCTTACGGTGATCAAGAGCCATCATGGCTCTTAAATGTGATCGAAGATGATTGCTATTTTTTGGGTGTACATATGAAGCTATCAACTCTATGTAAGACTTTGTTCACTCTTAGGCTGTTTGCAAATTATTTTTCTCTAAAACCACTTAGCCTTTCCCTCAAAAGTCACATAAATGTGCTATGTGCTCTAAAGTTAACTGAACTGTGGAACACAAGTTTATTGTTTGATTTAAATTATAAATATATTAAGGGAGCCTCGCTTTTAGCCGTGGCTAAATCTGTATATTTGCTGTGTTAGAAAAAAAGGAATTGAAGCATTTCGGAATGGACGCACGCTTGACGAAATTGGCTATAGTGTACTGGCCATAATTCTTGGGAATCTCGTGTGGAATCCTGCGCATACACGATAGAAAATGAGACGGTAGGGTACTTTAGCCTCAAAATGAGACCCCAGGCTCGAAGACAGTGATGATCAGAATTGATTTACTACAAATGACGTCATTTTTTAAAAGGTGTTCTACAAAAACGCGTCACGCTCGGTCAGTTCTTAATCGTAATCAGGAATGAAGATCAACCTGAGAGTCCCGCTTTCTTTTTCCAAATGATGAGGGTGCAAGTAGGGGTTTATTTACGTACTGGTAGAATAGCGGCCTTAGCCATTGACTGAATACAGTTATTGATGCAAATATACACATTCGCCTAAGGGATGTTTAGATCTCTTTCAAACTAGCAAAAAGGGTTGGTAAACAGATACCACAGCAGCTTACTAGATTAGTTTCAGCGATCAGACTTTGCAATTTCGCTAGGGAAGCAAATCTACAAAAGAAACAATAACAACTTTCCTCATGGTAAATTGGTTTCGCGCGGTGAGTAATTTGAATTACTGCGTTATGTAGTATTTAGAGATTTCTTTTGGGATTGTTATTAGAGTAATGCAGTATTTGCTGGTTTTGACGTTTGTAGTGGTTGCTTACCCCTCAAAATTCTCCATCAAATGCCCGGTTTTATGAATGAGCTATGAAAAATCGTCAGGGTCTGCTGTCCAGAGGAAAAGTATATGGAAACTACAATAGATCGATTCTATGTTGAATCTCACAGGTGGCATATAAGGGCAGGCGAAATTTAATTATTGCAAACTATATCCTTCATAACTCTTTGACAAGTAGCAATTTGCACTTTGCAACACAGGATTTTAGATGGTTCGAATTCAGGGTTTTAATGAATTAAAAGACAGCACCCCTTGAGGGACTAAGATCTAACATCTAAATCAGTTCCAAACTCGATAATTAATTGTAGGCAATTGGAAGCAGAATTGAATATTTTTCTCACCTTTAGACACCAAAACACGTATATAGCACGTCGAGTCTACTGTGTCGACTGCACCAGGGCTGAATACAGACTGTACTGATAAGCCCAAGTTTTCGTTAAGACTTTATATTCACCTGAGCAACAATGGCTAAAGGTCACGTTTATTTCAAATGTAGTTTAGTTGATGCCATAAACGTGGAACGGAACTTGTAAGAATGACCCATGAATAACTTCGTTATTAAGCGACCGTGCTTGATTAAGCAACATGAATAAAGGTTTTGTTACAAGCTGACTGAGACCTAAAAATAATATCATAAC